ACAATCTTTTTTTCTTATCGAAGGCACACCATGTTATGCCGACCAATTACTATTAAATAGAATAAGCCATTCAACTTTCTGAATCAATGGACAATCAATCAGCTAGCAAATATCGGCATCAATGTCAGCATCCGAATTTGGGGAACTGAATTCTTAGCACGATGACACAAGTTTCTCAACCTGGTTTAAAGTTCAAGCATCCCGTAACTCGTCCCAATGTCTGTGCGATAATCTTGTGTTAGTATTGTGTGCTCCATATTAATATTGGGCGTTTTTCTCACGGACTTGTATTACAATGCACCGACTCCTTGTATTTTTGTGATGTTTCCAATTAGTGTATCAATAATTTTTCCATTGGGCCGTGTACTGCCACGGTGAATAGTAGGGGGTTTTGAGTCTTCTGAGCGTACTCATGGCAACTGTTTACTCATGCCAAAGACTTTGCTTCTGCCCAGAGATTTTTATCGAAAATATCCGATTTAGACATTCGAATTTTTCTCATCCACCATAATACTGCTTCTAATTCGTTAGCTCTGTGTTTATTCAAAACCAGAAGTTTATGTCAGATGTTTGACTACTAAGGATTGAGATAAAAATAATGTAATAGTAATGATTGTAAAGCAACACATAACACATCAGATAAGCTTAGCAGCAGTATTTTCGGATTGCTGTTGAAGTTACTTGTTCAATCTGGATGAAAGGATTCTTACGAAAAGATGTACAATTAACGTCAACTCTGGTTTTTGCAAAAACTTACCCTTCTATCGCCAACTTTTACTCTTTGTCCTACCCAAAGTTTATAAGTGTCCCTTTTCGCATAATAACGTGGACAGAAGCAGTTATAAAACGACTGTCTTGTCGACATTTTCTTGCTCAATCCCATCGGAAGAAAATAATAATTTACTTGATAACAATAAGTTGTTTAGGTTTAATGTCTAACGATAGACATTAGGTCGTGAATAGAAAGCCTGACGCGCTAAATCTCCAGAAATATATGTACAAGTTTCAAGCAAGATAGCGAAGCTACGAGTTTTGTTTTTCACAAACAATTTTTCTGTGAATGTTTCCATTGTCCGGCCAGTTTACGACAATAGTACTCTTGGAATTATCGAGACAAATGAAGTACACCGTTCAATGAGAATATAACAGTTTGTGCCGCAAGAAAAAACGTTACCATCCAACGCTGGTAAATACGATTGCCTGAGAACAGGAGCAACTGATAAATCTATTACTTACAGTTGGCTGGCACCATAATAGCGAACACGTCTATTACATTGTTCATTTGTGTCATATCCACCCGTCAAATATAAAGTTTTTCACTGTCATAGACACTAATGTAATATTCTGCTTCAAATAACAATGGGAGCAGAAAAACTAGCAAATGGTGAAGCTATTGGCGACGAATTAGAAAAAGGTACCAAGACAATTTATTGATTATAATTTTTATTCCCCCAATTATGCGGGTGCTTATTATCCGCAAAGAATACATAATGGATAGATGCTAGCACTTTTGAAACGATCGAAAATGGGATAAAAAAATGCGGAAAGAAAGCTTGGCCGATATTAACATAGACTTCGATGTGAACAAAATAAAGAAGATGATAGCGGTGCTGATACACTGTGTAGAGAAATAGTTAACGAAAACTGGTGAAAACGGAACATAGGAACGTGATTTCGCCAGTAATAATGTGGGAGATGTAATTATAATTACTGTTAATACGAGAACTTTGGGTTGGAAAATTAATTAAAGGGTACTTGGATGAGATGTTTATATATTAAATGATAAGATAAGATACAATGAGGTGGAAGAACAGAAGAAAGAAGCGGAAAAAAAAGCTTGGTTGATATAGACTTCGATGTGAATAAGGTAAAGAAGAAGATGGTAGTGGTACTGATACGCGCTTGTAGGAGAAAGAATAGAGGATAGGATGATTGATAAAATGGAACATACGAACGTATTTTCGTCGGTAATTACTGTAATATGAGAACTTTATGGGTTGGAAAATCAATTAAAGGGCACTTGGATGGTTAAAACAAGCCGCTGATGATAACACCTTAACAAAGTTTTGGTCAAGAAATGCCGTCCGGCTTTCTAGAAACCAGAAACAATCCGTTCCCGCGACCGCGCAAATCAATTGGACAATCTTGTGTCAACCACCGTTACTTAACAAATCGACCAAACCATCATTCACTGTATTATAATGTGATATGATATTAATAATCTATCGCGGACTATTAACGAAAGGTATTAATCTTTTAATAACAAGCAGAATATCAATGAAAAGAGATGTTATTCATTACATTTCATAGTTTTGCAGGAAAAGTAGAACTGTGATTATAGCATACTGACGCACTGTCACCGAACCCCTCATGCTCATTCAATATCTATGATAAACAACAGCAAAGGCTGATAATATCAAAATAAAAAAATCCATATGCACTAAGTGAATACAACGCATATGATATACTTCCGACATTGATCCGCACTTCTGGTGTGATGCATCTTTGCGATAGCGACTGAGAAAAACACTTTGCTGGTGTTGGCTTTCCCTCAATGCGCTCTCTCGTCTGTTTTCTTTCTAAACACCTGTCGAAACAGCGATCCGTGTGTTGTCTTGCGTACGTACTTAAAAGCGGGACGCGACGGAATGACTGATCAGGCAGAGCAAAGCTTTAACTGCGAACGTAGGTAAATACGGCTCCACTCGTAATTTCCGCCACCACCTAACTCTCCAACTCCACATTACGTTCAGCCTCAACGTTAAGATTGTGTTACTTTGTTGAATGCAGGAAGCCTAGACAGAATCAAAAACATTAAGGCATGACAATCCCTTCCCTAGACCTTTTTCTCTTGATCTTCTGAATCCATAAATCTCAACGTATCCAAAGCTCTTTATTCAATGCTCTATTATCTTTCATCCGGGGTACCATTTGATTCGGTATTGTATAAGAAATAACTGCAACACATCACGATATCTCAACGTGTTAGCCAAAAAACACTGGCTTTAATCAGGAAATAATTGGCGTTCAGGAGTTCTTCGCTTTTTCTTGGAAATTGCGTCTACGATCATACCGAGACCATATGGGTACAACACATTAATCGCGTGGTGAGTATACTATACGACGAACGTAAAATATAATATGTAACATAAACTTATTAATAAATACCAATTATAATCTTAAGGATGTCAACTTTTCAATATTCTCCAGAATATCATCTCTGGACTATATGAGGCAATACATTCTTGCGACTAAACAAAAATAGCAAATTAGTAATACAGGTAAATAATGTCAACATCATGTAATTCCCACCTTACTTTAATACACACGCCTTTAGCCTCGTGAAGTCTCCCCGTTCCGGTGTAAAATTAAGTCATCCAATGCAATGTTCTAAAGAATTCGTGTGCTTTCTGATATGCCCGCGCTCTTTCATCATAATCATCCTTTCAGTATAACTTCTATTTGTTTGATGTTCTGGACTTCTTCAGGTGATAATGTCCCCGTTGATACTTGTTGGTAGGGTGATTGCTGAAACGCAGCGCTACCAAAATCTGTTGTCATCTGCCGGGTTGGATTGAACGGGTATCACGTAAAGATCATGTGCATCGTTATTCTTCTTCCCTTACCGATTATCGATGTGGTTGCAGTATCTGGAGTAGTGACTTCTGTACGTGTCTTTCTGTACTAGTATCAAGTGCCGACGTCGCTTCGTCAAGTAATATTAATTGAAGATGCTAGTGTAGAAGCACACAAACACAGATTATTATTGCAAGTTAGGCTCGATGTTTCATTAAATAGATAATTACCTTTACCGATCACCTAAGAATAAAAGATCAAAAACATTCCCTATTAAAAAGAGATGTTACTTTTCAAAGATTGAATAGAATCATCGGGCTATGCTTACTAATCCCTATAATCATATCTCTATTCGCTTACCTTGCCTCCTCCTGATGGACCACTAATAGCAACGGTATGTCCGCTTGGTACTCTAAACGACACATTTTTCAAGATCGGGATTCTATCATCATATTGCGAAACTAACATTTTGGAACCCTATTTCTCTTTCTCCAATTTCCAGCGGCTTAGCGCTTGGCGGGTCTTCTATTTCCAACGGCTCATGCATTAAATCCGGCATCTTTTCCATATCCACGAGGGTTTTTTGAATTGTTTTGTAGTTAATTGCCAAATCGTTCAATGGTTGGTATAGTTGGAGAATGTATACAAAATACATTACAAAGTCACCGACGGTTCTCTATCCTTGAGTAACTTGATAAGCAAGCAGGCCAATACGATTCGTTTAATTCCATTAGCATTCGGTCCATCCACATATAGCACACAACCCTTCGCCCGAGACGCACTCACCACGCAAACAAATCGCTAAATTCAATGCTAATGTTACGGCAATTACATTGCTCGTTTATGCCAATACTCTCATGTAATTTCAAATGTAACTGGCGGTCAGTGACTTTGGAGACGGCACTGTTTGTTTAAATGGATAAAACGTAAAGTTCAATAAGTTGATTCGATGGGTGAGGCTTAATAACGTAACATTACTTACATAAATAACGCGCAAAGATCCAGTCTTTGCCAGAACAACAGACCTGTCGTTGAGTATATTAGTTTATTAAATCGAAAACTTTTGTAAGTGCGCAACACGCTGTCATAAATATAAAGGAATCGGCATGTTACACGGCGAAGATTTCTATTTCGCGATAATCAATTACGCGTGCGGAATGTCTAATGCTATCTACCAATCTTTAATATTAATGGGTATCCGTCTGACGATTGTACTAAGTATTATCACGCTGACCACATATTGATTCAATTCATACTAGAATATACAGTGCGAAAAATCGGCCGATAAAAATTTCTCTTCCTGTTCTGAATTTAGTGAGAATATTTCGACGCGACATAGGCTAATGAGAGAAAGAAAATTAGCTTGAACTTTTGGACCGAGCAATATTACCCAAAGTTTATACCCATTTGCTTTGACAGTGTTGTTGCAATCATCTGACTGCTGGTTCGCTTTCAGATAAAACTAGAAGAATGCGAAATATTCGATAGTATACAGTACGACTTTATTGTCGAACAAATATTTTGTCATTGTCGCCCGCTCAGTTCTGATCAGTCATAGCCCTTATGTCGTCCGATAACGCCTAAACAGCTCCCTTCGAACACTCAACCAATGCTCTCCCAAGTGCAAACCTATAATCGTTCCTCGATCAAAGTCGGGTAATACGATGCGAAATTAGAATACAATATGAAACATCGATTCTTAAAAATTTCGCCATGACATAAATACTCAATTATAATATTATAATACAAATATTATTATACCAATAAATTTATTTATATTTTAACCTCTATCGCTATATACTTGTGTGGGATAAGTTCCGAGAGGACCTCAAAAAGTCTTTTGACTGGAGGTCCCCCCCGTTTCCCCACAAGCCTCCCCGAGGCCCCCCAACACGCCTGTACATGATCCACGCGTTGTTGCAGCGTGGATCCGTTTGTGGTTTTTTTTTTTGAGCAAATTTTGCTCGAGAATAAAAGGAAAGTCTGTTCATCGAAACTGTTGAGAGTTTGAATAGAGATAATGTTGTGAGTGAGCATGTTTGAAAATAACATCATAGTCAAAAGGCGCAGTATTAATAAAAATTATGGAACTTACCAGTTGCTCACCACCTTTATTTAAAATTGGTGGAACATTCGGATATCATAATGATATCACTTCTTTTTAGCGGCTGTGCGGTTGTGCGGCCCGCAGCCATATCTTTCACCGAAAGAAAATTTATCTATACGGAAAACAACGGTATATAAAGAAAACTGTTTCGTCAGCATAAATGTCTGTTGAAGCGTCCACTATCAAATGCTAGTATCTAACAACATAATCGTTAGTCTCTGTAAAAATTCGTCACCGACTAACCTGTGGTGAAATGTCAACGCTTATCAATAAAAACAGTTGTATCATTCTTTAAAATGTTCTTTGGTTTTTCTGTCGTAAATAAGCGTTGTTAGTGAAATGTTACCAACAAACCAGCGATAAGTAGTAGCAAAGCTCATACTCACTGAGCTCTTGAGTGGGGGAAGAAGCAGCTCAGAATGCTAGGGTGCACGCCATTAACATTGAACAGTTTATATTTAATACAAGAGTTTACGGGTTCAATTCTCATTGGTTTTGCGTACCCTTTCACAGTTATCGTTATGCAGAGAAGTTCGACATAGAAGTGTAAGTAATAGATATATACGTCATTTTCGACAATCCGGAATGAACAATAGTAATTTATTTGATCCCGGCTTATACCGAAACATAGTACACTAGTTCAATGGTTAGAGCACCCGGATGGTTGGAGGTTCAAGTCCTCCAATATCCATTGCGAATTTTCTAATTAAATGTTTCTGGAGATTATTGGTTAAGTCGTTATACTGTCTTCTTAGCTAGGATTGATATTAGAATCATCTTTGCGATGTGTGCAAACTTTTTTTCTACTATATGTATACACATCTGCGTACAAAATTGACTAGTCTTTGCCCCTTTTTCATTCAACTATCCCGATTCTCATCCTCCGTCAATCCCACGGCGTACCCAAAATCACGAATTCTTCAACTGACCGGGACATGCCATCAGGAACATCTATCAAAATAAATTGTTCGTAGAGATAATTGGTTAAAAAGGCACTTGAGTTTTTTGCGAGTGTTGGGAAACGATGATGCGAAGAAAGGATTGAGAATACTTTTGTGGAGAGAACTGCGGAATGTCAATCGTTAAATAGTGAAACACTAACAATATCAACAAACGTCAGCGGGAATCAAGAGGGACTGGTGAAGGGGAAATAGAGGTAAGTTAGGCAAGATATGGGGCAACGCGAGGAACAGTGGTGGAATGCTCATACCTTAGCAGTACAGTAACTTCAATAAACAAGTGTGTGCCGAATAAAGGCCTCAATAAACAAGTGTGATTTGTCTAACAATCTTATACACACATAATCTGCAAAGCTCATACTGCATCTGGCCATTTTTACCCGAACTGTCAGATCCGTCGACCAACCTCATGCCGCGCCCCTTGGTCTGACAAGTTGTAGTTTGATGTTTCATTGTAAAAATTTCGTATAAGGCATGCCAGAAATTCTTTTCTTCTTGAGGAGGCGCTGTCAGCAATGCGAAATGACTCGGCAACTGATAATGCGTTGCCTTCGCGAGTGAATCTCGCTCGTATATCTTTCGATACAATATCAACCAATTCGGCGGACGCTGGACGCTATTTGACTTTTTCTTTTCGGCCGAATCTTGTAGATAAGCTTGTCGGACGATCGGCTGATCGTTGTCAAGGTGGACATTACGCCTGCTATCAACATCAGACGTAAGACGGGTGCAGTTAGTCTAATGATTTCAATTTTACGTTGAATTGAGCCAAAACAAGAAGTTAAAAGGAACAAATAAGTTCGGATAGGGTATCAGAGAAAATAAACAAAAACATAATACTGTGTCATCCGCTGTGTAGATTTATACGTCTGCATGCTGTCAACATATTTTCTTTGTGCATTTTATGAACAATACTTGTCTTCATACCTGCAGTTGAATTCCAATAATGATTATCAATCGGCTTTTTTTTTAAAGGAATGTTCGCTCCAGCTCATAAAACATGCAGTCCAACCGTCACCACGCCAGCCGTTTGGACCAACAACTGAACGTTTCTTCAGCCGCTAACGTAACGCGTTGGAAATAAGGAATCTTTGTGACAGATTTGGTGCACGTGCACAACGCCCAATCATCATACGTTTTTTTAAATATGCGTAAATCTAATACTAAAAATAATAACTCATTAATTATTAAATTTTCCGGGCAAAAGGTTTATGACAATGACTGATCACACGTAAAATTTCAGCTCGAGCGAATGTCTCCAGCAAAATTTCCAAACATCGAATATTTTGTATCGGACTATACTACACCCCTCTATGCATAAAAATTTATATCTCGACGCTTTTCTAACAAAATTTTTCTCTCTTTTATTCTTTGAACCAGCCGTAATTATGCTTATGGTCTATTATCTATGGGCAAATTATAGCGTGATTGCTACAACGAAATGCAAAATAAGCGTGCAACATGATAATGACGATTCTAGGAGTTATAATGCGCTGACGTTTCCTTTTATAGTAATGATGGTTTCATAATTCGACTAGATGTCATGTAGAGATGGTTTAGATAATAATAAGCAAAAGAAAAAATTTTACGTGTGATCAGGCATTGTCATAAACCTTTTGCCCGGAAAATTTAATAATTAATGAGTTATTATTATGTACGTTTAGGTAATAGTAATGCAACCGTTCGGCAGCGACTGTAATTTTAATAGTGGCGGAAATTAATGAGAATTTTAAATTTTTTATTTCTCAACCAATTTGTATTTACATAAAATTTTAAATTTAGTGGTCAATTGTTAAACTTCATGACACTTCACATTGGAAATAGAGAGTGACACTCCATATTGGAAATAGAGAGTGCCACTTCACATTGGAAATGGAGAGTGACACTCCATATTGGAAATAGAGAGTGCCACTTCATATTGGAAATAGAGAGTGCCACTTCATATTGGAAATAGAGAGTGACACTCCATATTGGAAATAGAGAGTGCCACTTCATATTGGAAATAGACACTCCATATTGGAAATAGAGAGTGCCACTTCATATTGGAAATAGAGAGTGTCACTTCATATTGGTTCGGAGGCTTCTATTTTTCGGATGGTTATCCTCTCATCCTAACTAATTTTGTTTTTCGTTCGGAAACAAGAATGTCCTAAGTATTGGTTTCATAATTGAATCCGGTAAATTGTTTCCGTAGTATAAAGGAAATTTTGCAATGCGCCAATTTTCGTGTTCATCACATCGACACATGCTAGGACAGAATTCACTATCATCTTTATCGTAATGAGGTCATGTATAACGCGCGGACGTCAGATATCCTGATGGACGCGCAAATGACTTGGATACGCCGTGAATATGGGTGGAAGGGAGACTGGAAATTTGGGTAAGAGGAAAGACAAAAATTATTATAAGATTTGAAAAGATCACAAATGATATGCACGTCAAAGCAGTTGAATAATACCCACCTTCACCATATTGGATACGTCAAAGCACTGACGGTCTCGTCTTCGGGCATGTAAAACTCTATTCCTCCTTGCTCTCAGCAAATGTCCGAACCGTTTGACAAAGCTCTACACGCATGGCAGACACAAAGGTGAGGAAAGGATATAATAAAAAGGTCATTGGAGTAAAACGAAAAACTAATATGAGAAAAGACGTAATGACAATGGTCAAAAAAGCATAGATCCTTCAGGGATTGTAACAAACCTGCAATGATGCCTTCGGGTTATAAACCCAAACTTCCTTTGGCACTCGACAACATATCTTTTACTTTCTGGAATAAATTCAGGCCTGCAGCAGAGTACTCAAAGTCGTCTGAGGCTTTGTCGGGGATCCCAGCCCGAAGTACCCTCAAATAAGGACGATGAAATTCCCAACGTCGCCACTCTGAGGATTCGTTGACCGTGCATTCTTGGTAGTCAGGAGATTACTGAGACTCATGGACGATGGATGAAGCTTTGAACGTTTGTGAAGTCGGATAGAGTGTTGTCTGGTGATTTAATTTATAAAGAGCGAATTTGACGGCAGTAGGGTGCTTGTATCTCTTGGGTTGACGGGGATCGGAAAAATAGCATTGATCTTTGGTTCAGTCGTGCTAATGTTAACATTGCCATAGTCCTGATCTGAAAAAAGAAAAGAGAAATTTCGTGAGTCACTCGTATGGGTAATATGAACTGCACATATTACGACGGAACATATATCCGTAACATGACTCTTTAATACTAACTAATTACCATTTATGAATCCGTATTGACTAGTTTCCAACTGTCACTTTGAATTTCCGTTAAAGCAACAAGTGCTTGGGATAATGCCGTTTGCTTGGTTGTCAAAAGTTTGTAGCTTGTCGAAGATAAAGCAGCTGTTTTATAGTTTCGTGCTGCGTATAGAACGCATTACAAGATTAATGCGATTGTTAGTATCTGTAATGTATTAGAATCAGCGGTCACCACCGCCACCACCTATTGACCAGTTCTCATCTCTTGAAGACAATATGACTATAAAGTCTACTGTCTATAAAGTAAATGTCGCAATAGAGGTAGTGCGCGAACGTCTATCCGACCCACATCGTACTTGTCATTGACTTTGTCCTTATTAATGAGCGCCTGTGTGCGTACCGGTGTATTGACATGCTACTGCTGGAGAATTTAGAAGGTCCTTCGTAGCCAACGAACTGCAATGTCAGTGTTTTTTTCTTGGAAACCACCAAATGGATAAACGTTTCCGACGACCAAAAGGGGCACCTACTCCATAACAATACGTTAACAATCATGTGATATTATGCGAGAAAATAATAGTGTGACATAACATGTAGTAAGTAGCATAGTAACCTATTTTAATTCTCTTTATCAACTCAAGAAACCAGAGGCTTTGGGGTATCATTCTACTCGTTCATTACAAA